CAGAAAACTTAACGTGGCGTCTCGTTCGTCTTGCTGATGAAAAGAGACACATGTAAACCCTAATTCTAAATCGGGGGTTTAGGGTTTAGGGTTTAGGGTTTAGGGTTTAGGGTTTAGGGTTTAGGGTTTAGGGTTTATGGTTTAGAGCTTAGTGTTTAGGGTTCAGCCTTTCGTGTCTAGCGCTTAGTGTTTAGGCTTTACGGTAAGGGTTTAAGGGTCTAGGGTTTAGGGTTTAGGGTTTAGGGTTTAGGGTTTAGGGTTTAGGGTTTAGGGTTTGTGCAGGCTGCGTGATTTGCTGTTGGCGGTTTCTGCTGAGCGACGGCCGGCGCTGCAGGAGTGGGCTCAAGTAGAAGAGGTTCGTCTCGCTGCTGCTGCTGCTGCTGCTGCTGTTGCTGCTGCTGCTGCTGCTACTGCTGCTGCTGCTGGTGATGGAGCTGGTGATGCAGCTGTTGCTGCTGCAGTTGCTGCTGCTGTTGCTGCTGCTGCTGCTGTTGCTGCTTGTTGTGCTGTTCCCTAACCCAATTGTTTACCTGTCGCATCTCTCTCTCTCGCTGCTGCTGCTGCTCTTGCTGCTGCTGCTGCTCTTGCTGATGCTGCTGCTGCTGCTACATTTGCTGCATTTCCATTTGCTGTTTCCTCATTTTCTCCCTCTGCCTCCCCCTCTGCTGCTGCTGCTGCTGCTGCTGCTGCTGTTTCTTCCTCCCCTGCTGCTGCTTCTTCCTCCCCTGCTGCTGCTACCTCCCCTGCTGCTACCTCCCCTGCTGCTGCTGCTGCTGCTGCTGCTGTTGCTGCTGCTGCTGCTGTGTTCAGAAGATGCTGCAGTACTACATAAAGAAGTCTGCATGCGGTATGTTAGAGAGCCGTCACACATACACCCTAGCGGAGCAGAGTATGGATATATTGCGGCTGCGTGTCTGCTGCTGCAGCAGCAGCAAGCTGCCGCCTAGCTGGGCCGAGCGGGCCCTCTGCATGGTTTGTGGCAGCGGCGAGGACTGGGAGGAGGATCCTATCATCTTCTGCGATTGCTGCTATACCCCCACACATTTTCTTTGTCTAGGCAGCAGCAGCAGCAGCTTTGATGCTGCTGTTGCTGCTGCTGCAGCAAAAAGAAAAAAAATTATTAAAGCTGCAGGAGGGATTGCTGGCATGTCACCTGCTGCTGCTGCTGCTGCTGCTGCTGCTGCTGCTGCTGCTGCTAAAGCTGCAGCACAGGAAAAACATAATGCAGACAGGAAGACAACTGATGCTGCTGCTGATGTTGTTGATGCTGCTGCTGCTGCTGCTGCTGATGCTGCTGCTGCTGCTGTTGATAGAGATGTGGGTGCTGCTTCTGCTGCTGCTGCAGCAAGAACCAGCAGCAACAGCAGCAGCAGCAACATTCGCACAACGAGCAGCAACAGTACCCGTCCTTCAAGCAGCAACAGCAGCAGAAACCCCGCCTCACCACCCACCACCAGCACCACCACCACCAGCAGCAGCAGCAGCAGCAGCAGCAGCAGCAGCAGCAGCAGCAGCGGTGAGGATAGAAGACCTGTGGGGGGGGCTGGGGGGTTTGCTGCTGCTCCCGATGCTGAGGAGTGGCTGTGCCCCCTCTGCTGCCACCTGCGGAAGCAGCTGCCGCTTGTGGACGAGGAGACAGCTCTTGCTGCTATTCGTCTTGCTGCTGCTCCTCGTACAGCAGCAGCAGCAGCAGCAGCAGCAGCAGCATGCATGCAGCAGCAACACAAAGAATGGGGCCCTGAAGAATATAAAAAACTTACAAACTTCTCTCCTCCTCTGCTGCTCGGACTGCAGCAAGGAGACAACATAAAACCGCGGGGGTTTAACCATAGAAAGGCAGCAGCAGCGCAGCACAACAACCCCACCCTTTTGCCGTCTGTGCGTGTAGATAAACACGTTGTTGCTGCTGCTCAGGCTGCTGCTGCAGCAGCAGCAGCAGCTGCTGCTGCTGCTGCTCCTGCAGAAGCAGAAGATCCAGGGACAGACACAGCAGCGGACAACACTGCAAATCATGCTGCTGCTGCTGCTGCAGCAGCAGACAGCAGCACGAAAAACAGCAACAACAGCAGCAGCAACAGCAGCAGCAGCAGCAGCAGCAGCAGCAGCAGCAGCAGCAAGGTGCTGGTGAATCCGCTGGATTATCTGCGGCAGATCCCTCTTTGCTTTTCTGATTCAGAAGACGAGGAAGCAGGCAGCGGAGAAGCAGCAGCAGCAGCAGCAGCAACAGGACAGCAGCAGCAGCAGCAGCAGCAGCAGCAGCGTGGGGTTGGAGGTGGTAGTAACAGCAAAGGAGGATCTCAGCAGCAGCAGAACCAGCAGCACAGCAGCAACAGCAACAACAGCAGCAGCAGCAACAACCACCACCAACACCAGCAGCAGCAGCAGCAGCAGCAGCAGCAGCAGCAGGAGGAGCTGCTGCAGAGCAGCAAGTTCTACAGCAAAGACCCCAGGCTCAGGTGTATCGTCCAGGTGTCTCCGTTTGAGGGTCTCCTCATCTGTCTCCGTTTGCCTGTCTGCTGCATCTGCGGCTTCGATGGTTTCTGTCCTG